TAACTACTGGCAGGAAATTTCGCAATCTATTTAGGCTTCCGAGAGACCCAAATATTTTACGACTTAATTGCGAAATTTGGTGCGACCATGATAATGTTTCATCGAAATAAATACCGAGGTTTTTTACCTGGGCACTGAATTCAATGACATGGCCATTGAAGGTAATAGGCGGGAGACTTGTTTTATTTAATTTAGACATAAAATATGGGCTTCCAATTATGATACATTGTGTTTTTTTTTGGATTAATAATAAGGCTATAGGCTTTGCTCCAATCAGAGATATAGATGAGGTCAAGATTAATATCACGAATCGTATCATTGATATTGGACAAAGTGCCTTGAGAATAAATTTGTAAATCGTCTGCATAGAGGTGGTAGGATGAACGAAGATGAAGTGTGATAGAATTGATAAACATTGCGAAGAGAAGAGGAGATAAAACGCCACCCTGAGGTACGCCCGCAGTCGTTGTGCACCAGGATGAACAGATATCCTCGATACGAATACGCTGCCGGCGCCCATACAGGTAAGTATGAAACCATTCAATCACCGTTGGAGATATGTTAAGAGAACTAAGTATACTGAGTAAAATGTCGAAATCAACAGTATTGAACGCATTACTGAAATCTAATAGCGTTAGCACTGTCAGTTGCGATTTGTCCATGCCAAGCCGAATATCATCGGTGATCTTGATGAGAGCGGTAGTCGTACTATGACCAGGACGGAAACCAGACTGGAGTGGATTAAGGAGATTGTTCACAGAAAGGAAATTATATAGCTGTTTGTGAACAAGGCGTTCTAAAACCTTAGATAGGAATGGTAGAATAGAGATGGGTCGGTATTCTGAAAAGGTCAAAGGATTTTTATTTTTGGGGAGAGGTATTATATGTGCATCTTTCCACGTGGAAGGAAATATGGCAGAGGAAATAGAATTATTGAGTATAATTGTTACAGTAGGAAGGATAATGTCAAGGATAGGAATGATCATATTACGACTAATACTATCATTACCCATGGCATTCGTGGTTATGGCAAGTATATTCTTCTTAACATCACAATCGGTAAATTGACTGAAAGAAAAAGGAGATATGTCAGGAGTTGAGAAGGTAGAAAGAACATTTAGTGTGCTTAATTTATCGTTGTTGTCAAACACAACAGAAGAGCAGAAATGCTTGTTAAGACTTTCGACGTCTATGTTATTCTGTCCGGGACTATGGGTTTTTCCAACTCCTAGTGATCTAAGAAATCTCCAGACCTTAGCCGGATCACTATCCTCTACAGAATTATGAATGTGGCGATGTTGAGCATTCCTACAAGCTCTATTGCAGAGATTTCTTGCCCGAATGTAATATTCTCGGTATTTATCGGGGTTTGACCTAAATTTGGCTTTGGCTCTATTTTTTTTTATTTGAAGGGTTTTGATCTCGTCGGTCAACCAAGGTGCAGGGAGATGCTTAACTCGTACTGGTCGTACGGGAGCATGCCGATCATATAGTTCCAATAAAATAGAGTTGAATAATTTAATTTGGTCGTCAACCAATTTTGTATTATGAACTGCTACCCAGTCGACTGCAGCTGCATCGTTCCTCAAACTTTCCTGATCAATGTTACCAAAACTACGCCGCATTAAGAATTTATGCCTAACTTTAGGAGGACGGATTTTATAGGAAATATAGATGAGGTCATGGTAGGAAAAAGCTTCAGCGGAACACTGACCATGTCTAGCCACGTGATCACGAGAGGAGACAAGCATAAGGTCTAGAAGGGAAGGATTGCAGTTAGGAAAGAAATGAGTCGGCTGTAGAGGTAGTATGTTGAGATTACATGAATTTGCAAGACACCTTAGTCGGTTTGAACGGTAGTCATTTTTAAGGAGGCATGTATTAAAATCACCCATAATAATGGTATGATTAAAGGAGGGGATTAGACTTTCAAGAGTGTTTTCTAGAAAAGAGAAGTAGTCAATAGAGGACGAGGGACTATAGAAAACACCTAGAAGAGTTTTAGAGTGTGAGAAATCAACATTGATGAAAAGAAATTCTGGTTCAAGGGAGGGATTGGAAATATCAGAGGACAGGATAATATTATAGGATAAATGAGCACGAAGATAGATGGCAACTCCTCCACCACCCCCCTTTATTCGATCATTACGAATCAGATTAAAGCCGGGTAAAGAGTATGACACTGATGGGAGACACGGCTTTAGCCATGATTCTGATATCAAAATCGCGTGTAAATTCTCAACATTGAAAGATGTTAAAAAATCTGGAAAGTGGGCCGGAATACTTTGGGCATTAATATGCACCACATTAAAATTTTTATTTGTTTTATCTAAATTAACATTTAAAATCTCAAGGGGAATAATATCACAGTATGTAGAATTATAACTAGAAGATGAATTTGAAGACGAAGAATAATTATCATCTTCCAACATAAATAAACCTTAATAAATATATATTATACCTATACAAGAAAAAGTTAACAAAAAAAAAAAAGAATTATCTATAAAAGTACTAAACTTATTACTAATGTAATTAAACTTAAATCAAGATCCCAAGATCTTATCTACCTGTTAATTAAATTAAAAAATATATATATATGTATATTTAATACTAATAACAACCTATAGAAATATCTAAAGATTATAAGTGCATGTAACGGAACGTTGCAAATATTAGTTACTTTATTACAGACAACACTATGATGACATGAATGAATTTGACAGAACGTATTTGACGTTTCAATGACTGAATGAATGACGATCAATTTGACGTTTGTCAGTTACGAGCTGGCAAAAAATTGATTGACATGTCTGTTTACAAAATAATTATAAAATAAAAGTAATTTGTCGGTAAATTAATAAAGTGTGATTTAGAGGTACATAAATAAAGTAAAGTAACTATGATCGTGAATAGTACAAACATAATGGAAACTCAATATGGACTATAAAAAACTATGAACTATCCTACTTTTTATGGCGCTTTGAGCGTGTCGTGATGACGCCAGAGTCCTTTGTATTATTAGGAGTTGAAACAGAATGCACTGCTGGAGGTGGCGACAGGCTCATCAACTGGTTTAGTTCGTCGGTGCTACTTATACGATGCCTTGTTCCATCTTCACCAGCAACGATAATGAACCCGTCCTGTGTCCAACACTTTTTTATTCCAAACAGTTGTCTCGCCGCCATGAAAACGCTGTGTCTAGTTGCAGTCAAAAACTCGGACATAGTAATACCGGTACCTTTGAGCTTAGTCTTGGAGTGCCATATTTCGTCTTTAATATCCAAATCGCGGAACTTAACAAGAATGGGACGAGGTTTGTCTTTAATGGAGCGACCAAGGCGGCTACAGCGACGGATTTGATCAGCTGAAAAGTCATCTATTTGCAGCCTATCAATGACAACCTTTGATAATACCTGGGCAACATTTTCCTTCTGAGACTCGGTGACACCATGCAGCAATAAGATTTTGCGTCGACTACGCATCTCCATCTGATCTTGTTGACGAGCAACCAATTCCACTTGTTTCTGAAGATTTGTGAGTGCTGTGGTAGTGAAACTCCGGAATGTGTCGAACTCTGACTCCAGTGAGGATATAGTAGTGGGTGTGTTTCTTGCCTTCTCCAACTGACTCTTGAAATCAGCCATAGTTTTGTTAAAATGCTCCAACATACCGGCCATAGTATTGTGTAGTGTGTCCATTTTACAAATTTTGTTAATATAAGTGAAAGTTAATATTCTATTCTATTCTATTCCCTTTCCTTCTAAATGCCACCATACGACACCATTTGAAAAGGAGTGACAGTGCAGTCTTCAAGCAAGTCGCGGAAAATATTTACGTTGACAATTTAGTTACAGGCACAGATTCAGTGGAAAATGCTGAGAAGTTGTATAATGGTGTCAAAAGGGCATTTGACGATCTTTCTATGAATATTCGTGAGTGGAATTCTAATTCAGAGCAGTTCAACGAGACTATTCCCTTACAATTTCGAGCTAAGACAACAGAACGTATGAAAGTGCTAGGCCTGGAATGGGATCTTCTAAACGACATGTTGAAGCTGAATTTTCAGTTAGATCAAGATAAAGTAAACCAAATTAGGACAAAACGAGAAATCTTGGGACTAGTAGCTTCCATATTTGATCCATGTGGTTTTGTAACACCGATTGTTTTACCTATGAAGTTGTATCTACAAAATCTCTGGAGTCAAAAATATGACTGGGACACTGAGTTAGCTGAAGAAGCTCTCGTAGAATGGCAAACGGCCAGTGCAGGCTTGAAACTAATTAGATACATTAGTGTTCCTCGTTTCGCAATCGGAAAGGAAGATTTTAATACCTCCATAAAGCACGAACTTCACGCATTCGCAGACGCATCGCTACAAACTTACGCGGCTGCCGTGTACTTACGTAGCACTCACCAGAATAAAAGCGAAATTTCCTTCATAATAGGGGAAATCACGTTTAATAAGCAAAAAGGATCAGACTAATCTTCATATACCGTAGTTGGAATTATTGGGGGCTTTAAACGGAAGCCGGCTCATCAAAACTGTTCTTAAACACTCAAGACTTCCAATCTCTAAAACTTACCTGTGGTCAGATAGTCAGATAGTCGTAAATTGGTGTAACTCAGAAAAACTTTTGCTGCCATTTGTGGCGAAACGCGTTGACGAAATTAAATTAAATTGCAATCCACATATTCGGTACGTACCTTCACATATGAATCCCGCCGATGTAGCAACACGACCCAATATTTCTGCTGAAAGTGCGCAACGTTGGTTGATAGGTCCAGATTTTTTATACAGCGATCCAATGTACTGGCCGAGAAATACACAAAAAGACAACGAGTTAGATACACACATTCAAGTTGTCGCGGGCCGGGAGGATCCTTCGGAAACAGAGCCACAAGAATATACAATAGATAGCTCCGAACAACAAATAGAAACTCACTCTCAAATAAATGAAAACATTCCACAGACAGTTCAGCGTACTGCGGTCATTGAATAAATGGAAGTCGATAAAAACCATTTAACATCAGATTATAGTTTGACAAATATTTCAAATAATCACATTGATCAGATCCGACAAGTTCAGAAGGAATGTTTCTCGAAGGAACTTACGGGTATGAAGACAGATCTTGTGAGAGCTCTTGACGTGTACAAAGACGAGGACGGTATACTCAGATGTCGTGGGAGACTACAGAATACAGATTGGTCGCATAGCCAGAAACACCCGATATTATTACCTAAAGATCACGCTTTCACATCAAAGATAATCGAGGATGCACACCGGAGAAATTATCACGTAGGAGTGTCTCATACTCTTGCTATTATTAGAAAACAGTACTGGATACCCAGAGGTAGAATGCAAGTACAAAAACTTCTCAGACAGTGTCCAGCATGTAAGAAATACTCAGGAGGTCCTTATAGATTGCCACCCATGGCCCCATTACCACCCGAAAGAGTCACTTATAGTGAACCATTCTCTTACGTAGGTCTTGATTATTTTGGGCCCGTGTTGGTGGATACGAATGGTTGTTTGGAGAAACGTTGGATTTCCTTATACACCTGTTTAGCTGTGAGAGCTATACATATGGAGCTCGTAAAAGATTTGACTGCAGAGGAGTGTTTGTTAGGATTAAGGAGGTTTGTTTCTAGAGGCGTCCCCAAATTAATCATCTCAGATAACGCTCTGCAATTCAAACTTGCAGCCGATGTCCTCACTGGGGATTACTGTGTAACGAATCGAATAAAGTGGAGATTTATTCCTGAACTCGCGCCCTGGTTCGGCGGATTTTACGAAAGATTGATCGGTATTGTCAAGAACTGCTTAAAGAAAACAGTTGACAAACATATGTTAAATCGTTCTCAGTTAGGTACGATTATTAAGGAAATTGAGGCGGTCGTAAATTCACGGCCACTTACTGTAGTCGGTGAAGAATTAGAGCACGTTTTAACACCTGCAGATTTCCTACGAACAGGTGGTCCTTCTATACTTGTAACTTCAGATAAGGAGTTCTTAGAATCAGCTACGATCACAAAATCCAATTTGGTCGAGGGCTGGAAAAGAGGTCAACATATTTTGAGGGAATATATTGACATGTTCTCCAATCAGTACCTGGCTAGTCTAAGAGATCGCAGATCTGTGCATCGTCAACCTCGTATAACGGTAGATTCTACCCCAAATATAGGAGATTTAGTACAGATAAAAGGCGATGCTAACAGAGCGCTATGGAAAGTCGGCAGAGTATCAGGCATAGTAAAGAGCGCCGATGGGAAGGTCCGTGTAGCCAAAGTCACTACCTCCCCACATGAGACCCTGACCAGGTCGATAGGTCATCTCTATCCATTAGAAATTGAGTCAGAAATATCAACAGAAAGCAACTCTCAAATGCCTCCAACTAAAGCTTCCGAGGAATTAGCAACACCCCATGCCACTGGCTCTCCAAAAGACAGGACACAGGCTACTAAGAACAATGGCACTTCAGCACCATCTCAGTCCCTAACGGAAGAGACTCACCTTAGACCGAAGAGACTCTCATCTCAAAGGGCAGCGGAAAGAATCAAGGCATGGACGGCTCAGCTTCTCAGTGTTTTGCAATTGATTGATTGAGGTTTAATTGAATATGATTACAATGATGTGATACTGTTGATTTTGAGTACGTATTGAACTAATTTTGTTATCTGTTCTACATTAAACTGTTAGCAATCATAATTCTATGTTTTCTTTCTATTTCTATACTAAACCTGGGCGTGGAGTGTCGCGAATCATCGCGATATTTGTCTGTATATGATATCTATTCGTGTAAGATGTGCATTAAATTATGACGGTAGAAAGAAAGTACAATACACTAACGTTTGATGGTTGTTAAAAATAGTTGAGGGTAACACATTTTCATTCATTCTGTTAAATGGGGCGAAGAGGTTGGCTGTTCTACGAGTTTGTTCCCGAAAATATTGCAGTAAGTGCTTTGTAACTATTATAATACAACGTAAACTTGTTTATTGTTGAATCTTTAGTGTTATTTATAATAATTATGACGAAATGGTGTGTCTCAGTGTTGTGTCTATACTTCGATCCCAGTAGTTGCCTGTTAAGCAACTTGAACCGTGTCTAAGGCGTTTAAGACCTCAGGATTGTGCTCAGTGTCATGCTTGTTACTCAGTTGTGAGGACAGGGGTCGCTGTAAGGGGTGGTTGGAGGCGACTGCTCAGAATACTCAGATCGAACTCAGCTCCGTATGTTACTCATTTGTGCACGTAGTTTAATAATTTACTATAACAATGTACTGCATCCCGTTGGACATAACCAAGGGACTCAGCCTCCTCAGTATCAAACGTACATATGGTGTGCACTCTCAGTTACTCGTCACACGGCTCAGTGTTATGAACCATTTAGGTTGCATTGGATTCGCATCCAACTCAGTTTCATAAATGAATCTCAGCTCAGATATCCATTCTGTTATATAAGTTGGTATATGCATATATATATGTGTAATCGTGTGTGTATGCTCACACATATAGTGTTGGTGCATGCATGTGTGTGTGATATATATATAATTAGTTCATACAGTGTTTCATCGTTATTGCGTAGCGAGTTACGACTTTAACGACACTTATAAAGTAATTGTTTTTAAGTATATATATAATAAGGATGGTAATACAATAAAATACTAACAATTACTTAAACTTACTGTTCTCTTCGGTGTTATTGTTAAGATCTACATTTTTCCTTGACATTGTCCTTTACACGATATTTCATGTCCTTGATATACACTTGTATTATTTATAAAAGTCTTTTTTAACGCCTTTATAAGCGAAGAGCACCCCTTTAATAAAAAATAGAGAATGCATTTGTCAACTGGGTATTTTTTAGTCCCCACACAAGTCTCAATAAAATAATTAGTATGAGCTTTGTTCATCCAGTGAACGTTGAGATACCGAGTTCACAAATCAGTCTTCTGATACTCAATATAAAATACATAAGTGAATATCCTACAGACAGACGTTTGTGTCTACACACTACGCCTCATTACAAGGCGTTCAAGCGCGTAATTCTGCGGTTATGTCCGATCGAGGTAGGCAACAAGACGCGGTTGGTGACCACGCTCGTGCCACGTCTAATCTGGAATATATTAATTTTCTAATTATTTAGATGTCCTATTTATTCAATTATTTAATTATATTATATAATTATAATATTTTCTGACCTGGCGTGAAAAATATAAACTATTCTATTTTTTATTGTAAATTTTTCTCAGTTGAGAATCTTATTTAAGAAACTTATAGTAAATTTACCAATATTAACATTATTTTATTTCAAAGACGTTTTATATATTTTTATGCATATGAATTTATCGTAAGTTCAGTATGTGAGTTATACTAATTTAAATACTTATAAAGTAAAAGTAACGTAAAGTACAGAATAGTAGAACAGTATAAGAACTCAATCGTACTTTAAATTGGTTTCCTAAACTAAACCCTTTATACGGTTAAATAATTCAATTATTTAGAAATGTTCTTATGCGATGTTGTTACAACGTGATATTTATAATGATAAATCCTCGTGTATTAAACTATAATGACGCTGTCTTCTATTTCAAAATAAATTTATGTGATAATATTTCTGAAACATCTAATAGGTATAAACTACGTTTAGTCATCCAAAATACCAAATTCACAATCTCCTTTTTAAGAATACCGGCTATATATATATAAAATGTATACACATATCTTTAAAGCTTCTATGTAACGTGTAAGTCCCTTCGGCAGTCAGTGGACAAGAATTTAAACTGGTATTCATCAATGTGACCAATTTTTTACGGGTACATTCATATCATGAGCTCAATTGTATCCGATTTAGTACTCATTGAGTCAAAAGCCGTACACAAGACATCATATTGAAACTTTATAGTTGGTTTTATTACTTATAAATGAGACTATTAAATTTATAGTTCGTATGATTAGCTTTACGATGTACCGGTTCCGTTATAGGTATGGTATAGAAGTTTCGCTCTATCTCCCTGATAGTCCAAAACTTCGTCATTTTATATATCAGTAAACATTAATTAGGCTGTAAAATAAGAAAGTTAAGATACAATACGTATTCAACCAGCTTTTATATCTGTCATCAAAATGTTAAATATAATTGACGAGAGGTCAATGGCCCGTGAAAAATTAAATGACAAAGATAACAATAAACAAAAGATTACACAAAATATAAATGTTTTTGTGTCCATACATAGAAACTATAAAACTGGTAAGAATGACACACAATTGGATAATTTTCTAACTATGCCAAGGCTCAACTCATCATGGCTTTCGTTGTCGGTGGTTACGTACCCACGACTTGTTCGATATGTGACTGTTTTGAAATGAAATGAACCATCAAAGAATAGATCGTGACACTTATCAAGTGGACTTCTAACGAGCATAATAATACCAAACCAAGAAGTTGAGGGTTAGTCTTTATTTACACAAGATCGCCTAATTCCAATATAAATAAATAGTATTGAGAAATCTGATTTGCCGTTTCTTACATACCAAATCAGGCCAAGGCTGAACAACAATAGAATTGTTAAGACAACACTTGAAAATTGAAATGGGACCGTTTGGAACGTATCGGATTTCAATCGTATTTAATATTATTATATTAACTATGGAACTACAGATATCGAGAGTATCATGACGTAGTGGTCTATTACGCCGGCTTAGGCGCAAAGGTTATGAGTTCAATTCTGACCGTTTCGTTATAATGTAATACATTTCTAGTAAAATAAAGAGTTCATAAATAAAAAAATAACATTGTCAATTTTATTGACCCTCTAGTGATGGTAACAACGATAGTAAAACTAATATTAATTCAAGTGATTGGATCCGAGGGGCGTGCCCCTACCACCTACCGCGATAGATTTAAATACAACTATTGAAATGTAGAGATGTTCTGATATATAGTTTTGAAGTTATATTGATAATAATATTATTTCTTTCTATATTTTTTTTCTCTTAAGTATATATTCACAAAAACACATTTTTCTTATATATAAAATTCTCGTGTCAGAATGTTATCATACTCCTCCGAAACGGCTTGACCGATTTTTATGAAATTTTATATGCATATTCAGGTCTGAGAATCGGATACTATCTATTTTTCATAACCCTAAGTGATAGGGGTTGTCCACCCCTAAAATTATATATTTTTTTTTTTTGACAAAACAACATTTGCAGGGTCAGCTAGTTATATATATGTATGTATGTGTATTAATCACATTTACTAAACACAAAGAACATAGAAATTTACTTTTTAAGATAACAATCTCGTCGCTATTTAGGTCAACGGTACTTCCAGCAAGCTCTGAATGATGACTCCATTTTACAACTCTATAAATAGTGACTATGTTCATTATTAAGATGATTGCGAGTTTAGATACCCACCAATTAATTTCTCTATCATAAATCACCGTTCTCTACTAAAATCATGAAATAATGAGTTATATGGATGCGCTATTTTAAAAATTACCATTAATGTCATTTTAACTCGTAAATTATATTATAATACGAATTACATTAGAGATATTCCACAAAAAGACTGAGAGAAATTATTTATTTCTTCCGTTATAAAATCTTTTTGTACAACGACTGACAAATAGGTCGAAAGAAGTTACGCAAAATTTTGTTTATCGTTTTTTTTTTATATTTTTTAACCAGAACTTCTACAGTATCAGTTTTCATGTCTATGTTACATTACATTTACCTACACCCATATTGTTACACAACTGTTCTTCTGTATCTAAATTAAAACATACAATTATCATCCTTTGAAAATTGCTTATTTAGTCTATCTATCATAAGCCTTATATATACCTTCTACAGCAGCATTGTTCAAGCAAAGAACTATACTTAGGCGTACTCATTTGCGTATATCAAAGAATAAACTACATTTGTAATTCATGTAAAAGTATGTTACGTAAGTATATATTGAATCACAATAAAAGCGAGACGATACGTTATTAAACCAATGAGTAATAGAGTAAGACAAGAGTCAAATTAGTTAACCTTAAGATTCCTTCAATCAGCGTGCGAAATCAAGCAATGTTGAGCCTGCTACACTTGTTACAAATGAAATTTGATCCATAAATCTATTAAGACTCGCTACGTCATTTCTTTGAATAGCGTAGTATGTATGAATTTATCTATGAAAAATGTAACTGTCTTATTAGGTAGAAGACATTATACAGACTTAAAAATTTTAATAATGTGCCATAAACATATCGTCGGAAGTGGAGTTGAACAATTGTCATTAGTATGCGTCAACTAAAACGAATGATGTTGTATTCAGGAGCACATACGGCACAGATAAAAAATATATTTGTACAAAAGCATTTATTTAGCATCGTGTTGATTTCTTCTTGCCATTGTTATTTATGTTTGTTTGTTTTAAGAACATGATGACATTTTAAACGTGATATTTTAATTTACATCTAGTTATTGCATTTTTTTATTTTAATTATATAATTACATATTTGTACATTTTAATTCGCAGGAAGAATATTCAGAGTGTCATATGATAACGTGATATCCGTGGCTCTCTTTAGATATATGGCCAAAGCTTGT